AAGGATCGTTTTGCCTTGGACTGTGATTTAATTCTACATGATACTTGGAACGCTGACATTGGCATTCCCTTGTTCACAGGAGTGGGATTCAGCCGGATCGCGCCGGTTCAGACAACCGGTTGTTGCAAGGACCGGCTGGCCCCGCCCCGCCCACCCCTCCCCTCCCAGGAGTCTCCACGCAGCCTGTTCACTATGCTAGGTAAGTGCAGGGCCTGTGAAAAATGGGGCTCCCGCAAGCCTGCAAACAAGTCTGTTTCCAGCCTCCCCGTCGTTTTCGCCCTCCTGGAGGCTCGAGAAAAGATTCCGGAGCCTGGAGCCCCCCGCAAAAAATGACATCTCCCACACTGTAGTGCAGGAGGCTGAGTAGGCCACGCCCACCATGGCCATGCCCAGCCAGCAACCGGGCAGAAAATCGGTTAACCTTTTTCAATCCCATCCTTCCTTGTTCGGTTTCTGAGCGAGCAAGCTTTTCCCCCCCAAATCTCTACCGTGTAAAATGCAGGTTGTCCTCAACATACCACCGAAACTGTGCTCAAAAATTTCCATGGCTAAGCATAGACACCTGTTAAGTGAGTCTTGCCCCATTTTACGACATGTCTTCCCACAGTCGTTCAGCGAATCGTTGCAATTGTGAATAACATGATTGTTAAGTGAATCTGGATTTCTCCACTGGCTTGTTAGGTCAGAAAAGAAAATCACCCAAACCCTTTCCACCACCACCACCCCCGGCACCTCAACTTGTTCGGAGTACAAGACGCACCTTTTTCCCTCAAAAGAGTGTGAAAATCTGGGTGCGTCTTATACACTGAATAAAGCAATTTTTGCCTCCTGAAATAGGGGGCAGCCCTTCCCCAAAATGGCCATGCAGTGCCTGTAGGAGGCTTTCAGAGTGCTCCTGGGGGCTGGAGAGGGCAGAAATGAGTGAAAAATGGGCCGTTTTTTGCTCATTTTTGGGCCTCCCACCCCAGGAGCACTCTACAAGCCTCCTAAAGGCTATTCATGTCCTTTTTTTGAAAAAGAAACCAGCCAGTTTTCGCGAAAAACGGGCCGTTTTTGGGAGGTCTGCAGTGCAAAAACTTAAAAAAATTTTTTTTTGCCTCTTCAAAATCGTGTTGCGTCTAATACTCTGGTACATTTTATACTCTGAAAAATACGGTAATTCACTCCTTATTTTAGTTTGTCCAAAACCTTCTAGTGGCCGAGAAATATATAATTTAACTCTGCTTGCCCTTTCTTTTTTACGATGCTTCTCTCCTCTACTGTGGATTTTAAAAGCCGTTCTGGGACTTTTGAAAAATGAGTGTGATTAAGATGGTTTTATTTGTGCACTTGCTGGAAGTCACTTGAATTCGTTTGCATCTTCTTTGGGGAGCTGCCATAACAAAACAAAAAAAAAAGAGTTTTTGTACAGCACTAAAAAGGCAAGGAGAAATCCAGGCAGCAAAAGCAACTAAAGTTGCAAATGGGAAAAAAAAAAGAATAATTAAAGGGCAAATAGAAATGTTACCAGTGAGACCAAAAGACAGATGAAGGAATGGCTTTATTTGACCGTAACCAAACAGAACACACCAGAAGTAACATAATTACTGGAAGAAATAACTATAAAATGTAATGATCAATGCTATGATAAGATAAAAAAAAGGTCAAAATGAAGAAATGCAGCCAAAATGGCAAATTCAGACAGAGCCAATAAAATGGGAAGTGCATTGAGATAGCATTGAGCTGAAACAATAAGAATTAGAGGTAGGGAAGGAAGGAAAGAGAGAGAGAGAGAAAGAAAGAAAAGAAAGAAGGGAAGACAGAAAGAAGACAAATAAAGGAACGAAGGAAGGAAGGAAGGAAGAAGACAGAAAGAAGACAAATAAAGGAACGAAGGAAGGAGAGAGAAAGAGAAAAAAGAAAGCTAGAAAGAAAGGAAGAGAAAGAAATAAAAAGAAAGAAGGAAAATGAAAGG